TTTCAGCTCTCTCTTGCTCCAAAGCAAGCGCTTCTTCTCTGTTCAAGTTTTCATCTAACCCTTGGAGGAACGTTTCTACAATATCAACAGCCTCTTGATCATCAATGGTGACATAGATGACATTCCCCCCACACTCAGCCTTTAACATGTCCACATGTAACAACATATCTTAAAGAAGTATGCCAAGGTCTTCCAATAAAGCATCTTCATCATCAAACTCTTCATCCTCGTCAGCAAGCAAGTGGCAGAATTCCTTAGGATTGGCTTCACTCTTTCGTGGTAATTGATTCCGAGGCTAAGATGAAGTTCCTTTGCTTTCTAGAGACATGACTCTTTGGCTAAGAGCATCTAACTTGCCATTCAGGTCACAAGTAGTGGCGTCTATCTTGTTGTGTACTTCAGCAAACTTCTTGTGCAGCTCTATAGTGGTGTTGGCTTGACCAGTCAACAGCTGTTGCATCATCTTCTTGAGATCAACATCTTGAGTGCTAGAAGAAGTCTGTGTATTTCCAAAACCTGGTGGGACAAAAGCTGGTCTTGGCTGAAAGTTTGCTTGTTGAAAACCTCCTTGAAATGGTGGTCTTGGAGCAAAATTGTTATGTTGGTTGAGAGGAACAAGAGGTTTGGTTCCCTGGCTTTGTTTAGCAGCTTGTGATGGATAGATTTGATCCTGAGGGTTAGCCACATTGGTGCTTCTATAAGAGAAGTTGGGATGATTCCTGTAGTTGTTGAAACCGCCTCCTTGTTGATTCATGTAGAAGGCTTCTTCTTCTACAACTGTCCCATCCCCTTCTTGTGTAGCAACACTATCACCAACAAAGCTGACATACTTGAAAGACACACTCAGCAGCTTGTCTAACTTGTCACTTAAAGCTTTAATCTCCTTCTTGGTTGTGCTCTCACTTTCAGCACTTACAACAGCTCTAGATGTTCTGTCATACTCCTCACCATAGTTTTCTTCAGAAAGTGCCAAGTTCTCCACAAGAGCTAGTCCATCAACAACATTATTCCCCATGAAATTTCCATTTGATTCTGTATCCAAAAGCATCATGTACTTTGGCGTCACTCCTCTATACAAAGTAGACAACAAGCTTTCATTTGTGAAACTATGGTGTGGGCATTGCAAAGTATATGACTTGAAGCGCTCCCAAGCTTCAGCGAAAGTCTCATTCCCATGTTGAGTGAAGCTGCTTATGGTGTTCCTGAGCTTTGCCGTTCTTGTGGAGCTGAAGAATTTGTTGAGGAGTGCTGTCTTGCATTTATCCCAAGTAGATATAGAGCCTTGTGGAAGTGTCCTCTCCCACTGATGTGCTTTGTCACCTAAACTGAAAGGAAACAAGCGCAGCTTCAAAGCATTTTCAGAGACTCCTTGAATCTTGGTCATACCACACACCTTGTCAAACTGATCCAGATGATCCAAAGGTTCTTCATTGGGCAGGCCATGAAATCTGTTTCCTTACACCATGTTGATCAACCCAAGATTGATCTCAAAGCGGTTTTGGTGCACAGCTGGAGCATGAATGCCATTCCTGTTGTGGTGAGTATCAGGCGCATCACCAGCTCTTATAGGTCTTGCAGCTCTAGGTGCATGAAATGGTACCCTCAAACCATGAACTCCAGCCGCTTGGTTTAAAGCATCTTGTGCTTCATCTATGTGTGCTGCAGCTTATTGTAATGGTGTCTGTCCTACAACACCAACATGTGGTAACTGAGCTTCTTGCTCTGCCATCCTCTGTTCTTCTAACTCTTGAACTCTCTGTCTTACAGCTCTTCTCCTATGATTGTTGTCAATAGAAGGAGTCAGATTTGGTGAGCCTTTGGACCTCAAATTCATACAAGTACCTGAAAAAACAGAGCAAGGAAAACAGAGCATATTAGTAACCTTAATGAAAAAGCTTAGTCTAACAGCAATGTTAAACTCAAACAATCCACAAATGGCAACGGCGCCAATTTGAAGCAAGATTTTTTGCAAGTCCTGTTTATACTTCAAAGTTATCATAATCCCCAAATCAGATGTAGTATAGCATCTTAGGTGTCAAACACACTTGTCGAAGATGAGATACAAACAATGTTGTAAGCTAAGTGAGATTGGAGATTTTGTTTGTAAAGGAATGATTCTAACAACCTAACAATGCAATGAAAAGAAAGCAGAAACCAAATGCAAGTAAACTAGAACTAAGCAATGAACTTAAAGCAAGAACTAAATGACACGATGATTTTAAAGACAATTAATTAAAAGCAAGACTCAAGGTTCTAAGAAATTGTGGGATTAGTGGTTTTTAAGAGTGACAATGAGATTTCTAGCAAAGGCGAACATCAATCATTCAAAAGCAAGCATTTCTCAATGTTGAACTCCTAGACAAGGTATCTTAAAGGAACTAGCTTGGCGTCAATAAGAAATTCAAATTCAATAAGATTGAAGTGTCAAACCCACTTGTGATGGCGTATTCTTCAACCATGAACATAAAGATTAGAACCATTCTAGCCTAAGAGAAGCACTAAGCATGCAAACATTCTCTCACTCAAGCAAGAATTCAGATCAACTTATCAATCTTGTGAACCAATAAGGACCTATTTAGCTAAGCCCCAATCAAGAATATGAACTTAAGCACACAGTTGCAACATCCTAACAATGCTAAGCAATGAGCAGGAATTAAACAAAGGCAAGATCTTTCAATGCATGCTATCTAACCATCAAGCAAGAATCTCAAAACCAGCACTATCTAGCCCTAAGCAAATCATCTAGCAATGATGAACAATCACTTTGGTGTCACTGAACAAAAGAAACATAGACCAAGCCAAACTATCAAACCAAATAAGCAAACCATATGCATCAATCAATATCATATTTAATAAAAAAAAAGGAGCAAGCTTTACGAACAATAATCACTTTGCAAGAGATTGAGACAACAGAAAACAACTAATCAAGCCTAATCACCCTTTAATCACATCATAATCAACACTTTCCCTACTTAGAACCCTAAATCTAAGGTAAACTACTCACTGATCATGTTTAATCTCATTAGTTTAGAGTTAAACATGATCAAATGAGATTAAAATGCAAAGATGATAAATCTAAACTATCAGGATGCTAGAAATAAGATCAAGAAAAAAGATTAAACCATAAAAATGCAAACTTTAATAAAAGAAAGGAAACTAAGGCAAATCGCCCTTTAAGGTCTGGAACAAGATGAAAGGAGAGAGTTTTTTTGATAGAAAGACTAAACTTGGATAAAGATAATGTTTTGTGACTTCTCTTTTATAGTAGGGAACCAAAAGAAGCATAAAAAACATAAAAATAAGATAAGGTCAACAAAAGTCAAGTGGTCAACGTGCGGATAAGTTGCATCGAGGTGGTACGAATGGTGTTCTGCTCGATGTGGGACCTCAATATGGCTCGTGCAGCACGTATCGGCTTCCTTGCTCGATGCTGGACCTCGATGCAGACCAACGACTTAGACTCCTCATGCTGATCCTCTTCTTCACGTCATGCGGCTTACATCGAGCACACCCCATGGAGGTTTTGCTCAATATCCTTGCTCGATATGGACCAGACTTTGCAAAAGCTTCTTTCTGACATCCTCTTCAAACATGAGCTGCTTCCATCTCCTTCTCAACTCCAAGAATCTCCAAAAACACCTGAAAATCACCACAAACATGCACATGTATGCAAATATATACAAATATATGCATGCAATATTGATTCTAAGTGCAAATGAGACTAAAATGCTAAACTATAATACAAAAACAAAGGAAAAGATACATGAAATGCAGCCTAAAATGCTTTATAATAGTAAGCTATCAATCATTAAAAAAAATTGTGGATTATGAAACTATATTGTGGAAGATAAACTGGTTGAGATTGCAAAGATCGGTAAAAAAAAGAAATCAAGAAGAAGTAACTTATTGAATTAAATGCCCACAAAAAAAAGACAATTTAATTCTAAAAGTGTTTTTAAAGCTCTTTTCTGATAAAATGCAATGGAAAATAATTTTTCATAGTTCACTTAAAACAATATCGGAGAAAATTGACTACATTGAATATAATTCATACCACACATTTAAGAAGTATCACATAAAACATCACCTTCAACTTATTTTCATCCTTTCATTTGAAACTTTGCAGTGCCCAAACTTGCAATGCAGAATCTCAAACTTGCAATTGACTACATTGAATATAATTCATACCACACATTTTATAATGATCTCAGATTTTCAAAATGTTGAAGCCGGAGATTGAGCAATTACCTCACTCTCTTAGAAACTCTGCGATTTTATAATTACAGATAAATTTTAATTTATTTTAACATTTTTAGAAATCTACTATATAATAACAAGGTCATGTGCTTTTCTGTAATATATAGAATTGATAAAATATCATAAAAATGATATTTGAACAAATGCATACTATTTCTTTAGAAAGTAATAATTTTTATATAGATAAAGAATAGTAAATGCTATAATAAATTTGAAAGAACCTTAATATATATGCCTATTAAAATAAAATGCTTTTGAAAAATTAAATTTTCTTTTATGATTACTTTTTTTTTATAGTTAGCAAAAAAGACTAACTTATTTTGTCTCAATGTAAAATTTACGTAATATACTGTAAGGTAATTATTAAAATATTGCAATGATTTTAATAAAAGTTAACCAAATATAGTGTTCATCATATTGACATAATATGACTACTATTATAAAAAAAAATATATTTTTATGCAATAATTAGAAATACAATTCATTACCATATATAAAATGTGCTGTCAAATTTTCTAGCAATGCAAAAACAGCAGATCCAGCCTGTTTTTATCACCAAAAGAAAAATTTAATAGAAAGTAACAAATCTATATTTCATAATAATATAAAGAAACAAAATTTAGTGTGTCATAAATGACTCCGGCATTACCTAAACAAATCATTGACTCCATTCTTTAAAACCATAAACACTTTTGTGTAGTCAAAAACATCAAAACATTATTTTGCATAAAAATTATTATTAGTGAAGAAACCCATCTTGAAGAGTCCATTGTTCTTCCAAAGAAATTAGAGAAAATGTCAGAATCCTCACATAAGAAGATGAAATTCAGCCTGCCTGGCGATGTACTGGAGCATATTATGTCAACGTTTCTTCCAATCCAAAATGCTTTAAGATGCCGTCAAGTGTCCCGATGATACCTTGATTTCAGCGGAATATACTCTGTCAGACGGAGTCAATTAAAGGTAGTAGGTATAATTGAAGAAATTTTTAACAATCACATAGGAGCAGAGATAAACCAATTGGTTTTGATTCTTAATCATATCGGCGTGGAAGATAAGATTTTTATATGGATTAAAAAATGTCTTGATAAAAATCTCAAAGAGCTTGTGTTAGATTTTTCCAAATCTAAAAAAGTTTTAGAGATACCGATCAATTTCTCGGCCATCGAGACGCTAACAGTTTTGAAGCTAAAATGGTGCAAATTCGAGATACCAAATAACTCTCCTAAAGGTTTAAAATTATTGACAACACTTGTGTTAATGAAGACCAAGGTGACAAAGGAGATGATCGATGCAATCTTCAGCAACTGCATCCACCTCGAGATACTTGAACTAATCGAATGTCCAATGTAAGAGATCTTGAACATCAACGCTCAAAATCATAAGAAGTTCAAATCGCTGGTTGTGTATTCTATGCCAGGCCTCTTGAAGATCCATTTGGATGCACCCGCTCTAGAATGCTACAAGTATGATGGATATGTTAGGATGGTATACTTTTCAAGAGTTGATGCACTTAAGGAGGCAAAACTTCATTATAATCGGAGTTATGATTGGCATAATTACAATCCATCTGCCATGGTGATTGCTAATATGGGTGCATATATAGGAGGTCATGTCCTTGCAACGACAAACATTTTTCTTGAGGTATGTTATTTGTTTTCTATATAGCTTTCATAATTATTAAAAAGTAGTTTGTTTTGCTTGTGTATATATTTATTATAGGTGAGTAGAGAGTTTATGATATCAATTTAAGATTATATGCACGAGTTGACATCTTAGAAAATGGTTATCTAAGAGTATGCAACTTTGGTGTTAGCCAGTGTCAGAAAGGGTTACTATTTGCTTACGACAGTTTAAATACTTATTTTTTCTTGCTATTTAGTATATTGTTAGGAAAACTGAGTGCAGAAAATTATTGTGGTGGTAGGATAAAATATTCATATTTGAATATGCAATTTCTACGTTATTTAAGAGTATTATTTTTCCAGTTCGAACCAATCTCACCCGAAATTCTGGACCTAATAACTTTTTTTGTCAATTAAATATTTTTCTAACCAAAAGTTAAAAAGAATACTCTTCTAAAAAAAAGATGGAAATTATGTTTTCGTGCATATATAATATGTTATAAAACATAACTGTTGTCAAAATAAATTTGAAAAAAATACTATGAAGTGTCACTAAAGTTGATACATTCTTCTTAAGATGTTTAGGTACTCTTTTTTTTTTAATGCATCATTATTAATGTGGTTGGATTTTTGTTTTTGGAGAATCATTTCCACAAACTCTTTAAATGATCTTTATGTCAATGTTCATCATATATAAACTATGAAAGTTTTCACGTATTTTGTTTCTTTTGTTTGTTCATATATATAGGCTTTCGCATATACATACACAGATGGCGGAAAAATGAGAAAACCAACTTTCTACTTTTTAAACTTACAAGAGTTTCAGATTTGTTTCAAATCTCCAATAATTTGCACTCTTTTTGACATCGCTGAGTTTCTCATACAATGTCCTAATCTCAAACGAGTTTCGATTGCTGTACATCTCTCTCTCTCTCTCTCTCTCTCTCTCTCTCTCTCTCTCTCTCTCTCTCTCTCTCTCTCTCTCTCTCTCTCTCTCTCTCTCTCTCTCTCTCTCTCTAAAATACTTATGTTCTACCAATGGCTAAGTTCATTAAGACTTTGGTTTGTTATGTGCAGATAAATGGTTTTACATTTGAACCTCATATGTTTTGGAGGCTTCATCATAAGCCAAAGATTCAGAATGGCACCTACCCTTTGAACACCATCAAGTATGTCGAAATCATGGGCTACAAAAACCATTGGCATGCACTTGATATAATGGAGTTCTTTGTCAGAAATGCTAAATCTCTGGAGAAGCTGCTGCTGGTTGAGCCTAGAAACCCAAAGACCATATTATTCAAACCCGAGTATGAAAGGATTGCCAACATAAATAGCATATCTCCAAAGAGAGGTCTCATTGAATTTGTCAAATTTAAAGCTTAGGTTGTTCCAAAGCTTGCCCGAATATAATTAATAGCTTTTGATGTGTTTAAAGCCAAATCAATTTATGTTTGCTTTTTGAAAATTTTCTCGATTGGAACTCTATTTTTTTTTTCTTTTTCTCCATGATTTGAACTTATGTGTGAAATTTAAGTGCTTCTAAACTAATATATGTCAATATTGTCATGTTCATAGTTAAGATCATGGCTGTTGGGATATTGTTTATGATCTTGAAATTTTGTACAATTAATATTTTTGAACTTGTTGCAGCGTAAATCCACTTATATCTAACATGAATCTTACTTTTTGTGTCATATTTAAGACACAAATTAAATGATTAGAACCTATTCGATTCATAAAAGATAACACTAATTATAAAAATCCAAAATATATATAAAAATTATATTTTAGCCATAACAATTGCCAATATTTCAAATAAAAAAACTATATTCTCATTTTTGTTAAATTTTAGAATTTAAATGATGAAGAAAGTTTTTTAAAAATAATATATGTATGTATATATAAAATTATATATATATACTGTATATATGTAGATTGAAGAAGAGCGGATACCTGATTTTTTAAAATTAAGTATTTCAGATTTGATTCACTTTCAATGATATTACTTTATTTTTCTTTAAAACGTGCAGTCATGATTATTCGGATTTTTTGGGACAAAGAAAATATAAATGATAATTTGCCAAACCCTTGTATAACTAGTATTGTTTGAAGTGGTTGAATGGTAGAGAGCAAAAACTTAGATAACAAGTTCGATCATGAGAACTTGAGAAAAGGACGCAAACAAACGTGGGTTTAGACGTAGTAAAAGAGACTTTGATTACAGTTAGGGTTTGAGAGTTTTGCTCTCACGTTGTTGCAAAAAAAAGCAATTTGAAAAACTTAAGATTTCTTTTTTTCTTTCTTTTTATTGATTTATATATCTAAACAAATACTACCAAAAAAAGACTGATAACAACTTTATTTAACCTAAAATAAGATCTGAGAAAATCCTAAGACAAAAGAAAAAGTGGAAAAAAAACCTAATCACTTGTGGAACAATTGTGTTCAACAAGCCTGAATAAAAGCCATACGACACACCAGATACGCTGCATTATTGAATCTTTTTACAAAGACTAAGTCGATATTAGATGATGAAACGATACGGATTTTAACCTAGATTATAATTTTTATTTTTCCACTTTGATGATATATTCTTATCTTTTTACCATGTATTATATTTAAAGAGGAAATATAAATTTGTTACCGGTCTTGGTAATGACTATATATATATATATACTATATAAAAGTTGATGGTATAGTCTATTGAGGACGTCTACGTGGGGCGAAGAAATTCGATTTGATTGGTCCACATCATCGTTTTTCATTAAACACAAAAATATTAAGTATAATTAAAACCTTAATTTCATTTTAATCATGGAAAAAACAAATAAATAAAGTTTAAGTAAGAAATAGAAAAGAAAATTATGTTAAAAACAAAAAAATAGTATCATTAAAAATACAATAGCAATTTGTTTTCAAAAGAGTTAAACTTACAAAAAAACCAATATCATAAAAGTTCAAACTTATAATATAGATTAGGAAAATTCACAAAATATTAAGTATGATTAAAACCTTAATTTATTTTAATCATAGAAAAATTAAATAAAAAAAAATTTAAGTAAGAGATAGAAAAGAAAATTATGTTTAAAACCAAAAAATAGTATCCTTAAAAATAAAATAGAAATTGGTTTTCAAAAGAGTTAAACTAACAAAAAAAACCAATGTCAGAAAAGTTCAAACTTATAATATAGATTAGGAAAATTCTAACTTCTAAATTAATTGACCAGAAAATATAAAACGTTGCTTTTGCATTATAGATGAAAAAATCAAAATAAAAAAGCTTGAGTAACATATAGAAAACAAATTGTGTTAAAAAACCAAAATATAGCATCCGTCAAAATTGAAAACATTAATTTCGTTTTATAGATTTAAAAATAAAAATAAAAAGGCTTAACTAACAAATAGAAAAGAAAATTATGTTCAAAATTCATCCTTCAAAATAAAATGGAAATTTGTTTTCAAAAGAGATAAACTAACAAAAAAACCAATATCAAAAAATCTTAAACTTATTATATAAAATTAAAAAAATTCTAACTTCTAAATTAATTGACAAGTAAATAAAAAACAATAATTACATTTTATATATGAAAAAAGCTTAAGTAACAAATAGAAAAAAAATTATATTAAAAAAACCAAAATATAGTATCCCTTGAAATTGAATAGAAATTAAGTCCACATCATATAATATTTAAAAATTGATGGCATAGTGCATTAAGAACGTCCACATAGGACGAAAAAACTCGATCTGATTGGTCCACATCATCGTGTTTCATTAATCACAAAAATGTTAAGTATGATTAGGATGGAAAAATTTGATTTAATTGGTCCACATCAGCTTTTAAATCAAACGAAAAATTATTAAGTACAATTAAAATATTAAAAATTAATTTAACAAATTATGTCCAACAAAAAAAAGTAAATTCAATATGATTGATCCAAATCAACATATTTATAAAATCAGAAAATGTTAATATGGTTTAAAATTTTAAAAGTTAAATTAAAAAAATTAACAATTAACATTACATGTATAAAAAAGTAACCATTATCAATTATCAATTTATAAAAATCTACAACAACTCGATTTAACAATTAAAACAATGAAAACTGAATAAAAATATAACATAAAACTCTTGGAAGACATGATGGAGAAGGAAAAAATAGTTTTGCATGGTCATTACAGTTTCCTAACAAAATTAAATGCGAATCAACATGAATATACCTAGTAAGATTTAAAAACTCGATATGATTGGCCCACATCAGCAGTTTTCATTAAACAAAAAATATTAAGTATGATTAAAACCTTAATTTCTTTTTAATCATGGAAAATTAAATAAAAAAGTTTAAGTAACAAATACAAAAGAAAATTATGTTAAAAACTTAAACAAAATAGTCTCCTTAAAAATAAAATAGAAATTTGTTTTCAAAAGAGTTAAACTAACAAAACAATACCAATATTATAAAATTTCAAACTTATATTATAGATTAGAAAAATTCTAACTTCTAATTGACATAAAAAACATAAAACATTGATTTCGCTTTATAGATGGAATATCAAAATAAAAAAGGTTAAGTAACAAATAGAAAACAAAATTGTGTTAAAAAACCTAAATATAGCATCCGTCAAAATTTAAAACATTAATTTCGTTTTATAGATGAAAAAATTAAAATAAAAAAGCTTAACTAACAAATAGAAAATAAAATTA